GGCACCCATCTCCATCTTTATTTTGAACTATTGATTCAAACATTTCTCTACACAATCCTTTTTCACACTCCATTCACTTTCTCCATAAATTTACTAGAAGATATCCAGACAAATCTCAGGCACAAGAAAAATTCTCAAGGTATATTCTCTTAACTTTCTTTATGAGAACACTGAAGCCAGCATACAGTATTTGCTCTGGCCAACACTCCACTTTGATGTTTGAGCTCCATTTTTTTGAAAAATAGATTTGCAATAGTGATATTTTTGGAGAATGTATGATTAAAAAATAGGGAAAAGTTTCAGATTGGAGCATGTGTGATTGAAAATAAATTTAGGAAAAATGAGTTATAATGGGACTCAAACATGGGCGAAACAAGTTGATCAGAATTTTTCTGATGTTGGAATTTTCTTGATGAAGAAAAAACGGAAAAACGGAAACAACGAAATCTATAGGGGTTTTAGTCAAAAATAAATAAATAAATAAATAAAAATAAAAATAGTACAACCCAAAAGAAGGAAAAAATATATATCAACGGAGGAATGTGAAAAATGTAACTAAGAAAATCAATAAAGCTGCCATTTTGCAGATAATACAACTACAGGATATCTCGCCTATCGGAACAAAAACCTAGAAATTACTGTATATAAACAAATTATAATAATTTTACCAATATAAAACAAACAGAAAAGTATCATTCGGAATGTCTGCAAGCGTATATAAATTCATATATCCTTGTCTGCTCAGATTATTCTGAAACAAACCAATTACAAAGCATACCCATATTTTAAATCGATTCCGTCAGGAACCCATAAAATATTGTAGAAGAAAAACTGAATTCAAGATAAATTCCAGTCTTCTTACTGTACGTAGCCATGATTCTCAAGCTATGGAATAAAAGTATATACAGTGAAACTAGAAATTAATGGAAGTACCAAACAAAGGATAACAGTTTCATCATTATAAAATCCTAAAATAATAATAATAACAATCTCTGAATGTCTAGAGAAATGTCCGAAAATACATACATTCTTGTCGGCTCGGATTATTCTGAATCACACCCAAAACAAAACAAAACAAAACAAACCCAATTGTGAAATCTATACGCATCACCAACTCATTCAAGAAAATCGAATTATAGATAAGATAAATTTGAGTGCTCCGATTTTACCTAGCCATGATTCTTGTAGCTTTGGAATAAGAACAGACAATGTAATCGAAGCTGCTTAGAGAGTACAAGCCACTTTCCACTGGGCTGAATGGTGTGTATATGAGCGGGAAAATGCAGGTGTGATTGTGTTATGAGAGGCTTTGATTTCCCAAACCTAAGGCTCAGGTGGGTATCTTATGAGAATAATTTGTTGACTTCTATTTCTGAAATATTTTCGTCTTCATTCGTTAGCCCATGTTTGACAATCTTTGGGGAAAATTTGTTTTAAATAAGAATTTTTAGAANTATATATATAGAAAAGGAGTTTTCAAATAAGAATGTTGTTACGTGTACATCAAGCTTTATATAATGGATTATATAATGTCATATGTCTTTTTATCATCTGTCAGTTTAAAATACAGTTAACTTATTCATTCAATGTTTTCATCCAATCCCTTTGAATAATGATTGTCAAACAGAGGATTAATTTGTGTGCATACAAGAAAATTAAGCCCATGTTTTGCAATATTCTTTCAAAACATTTTTTTTCCTCGTACTTATTTTCAATCACGCATTCTCTCATAAATTCAAAATATTTCCTAATATATTCTATATCATTACGTAAGATTTTATAAAAAAGTTTATACAAAATTGTACGAAGAACTCTAGAACTTTTTGTTAAATTATAAACTCAACTTCTATTTTAATAAAATATGTCCTTGTTCAGGCTCTATTTTTTCAGAATTGTATTTTCTTAAAACTCATTTTTAACTACACATTTTTTTATAAAACAATGTTACTCGTAAATCTAAATTTTTTTCTTATTTTGTAACTATGTGTTCTTCAAAAAATCAATATTTTAAAAATATTTTTCTTTAAAATCTCATTTTGATAAAGCCCCAACAGGAGCTATGTTCGCATTCTTTATGTTAACTCGATTTGTCTTCTAGCAATACCTTAACTTATTGCAAGAAAAAATATTTTCCAAAAAAAAAAAAAAAAAATTCATTTACGTTTAATTAGTATGGCCCACGGTTGACCGGACCTACCTCCGAGCCTCGGTAGTGGACTGTGCTAAGATTTGAGGCAAAACGGTCCATTTTGCGTGGGGTCATTGATGACTTGTCCTACAAGCTAATTAGTGGGAACTGGAAACGATTATTTTTGACCAAACAAATCGTTGAGCCATTATTTATCTGACGTTATTTCAAAACTTATATTCAATCACAAGTAGTGATAGCAATTTGTCCCACCTCATCTCGCTTCGTCGCGGGGCACTGGGCGGAGCGAGGATGCCCGGCCCTGAACCCACCTCGTGAAGAAAAAGTAAAGTAAAAATAAAAATAAAAATAATTTTATTTCTAGACAATTCATCAATTAAAAACTCATTTTAAATTTGTATTTTATTATCTAATAATAACATAATTCGAAACTTACAAAATGTAAAAAATAAAAAATAAATAAAAAAAATTAAAAGAGGCAACAAACGGGGCAAAAAGTTGCCCCGTCCCCTCCTCGCGCCGCCCTGCGCCCCGCCCCATCTAAGGCGGCGTGGGGCGGGGTTTTGGCCAAACAGGGCGGCCCCACCCCTGCTCCGTTGCTATCACTAATCACGTGCAATAACAATAAAATATTTTAAATATAAATTTCAAACTTTTTCTTATTTTTCAATTACATAATTTTTTTTTTAAAAAAATTACTATTTCAAAACTCACTTTCCTACTTTAATGATAGACAATCGAAGGCTAAATTACAATCTTGTACAATTAGAATTTGTTGGAAAATAATCAGCCTTTAGATTTTTATTAGACATGGCTCAATTCAAAGTTTGGAAGGTGTTTATAAATAATATATATCATAAATGGATATAAATAATTGAGATAAGTAAATAATACTTAAAAATCTCTTAAAATGTGTGGATGAAATCTAACTTAAATATTTTTAAATAATTTATAAACATGAGCTAAATACAAATACAAAAAAAAAAAAAACTGTTTTTTATATGAAACGTGGCAGGATTTTCAAGAATGACAATATATATATATATATATACTAGTCATAGTTGAACGTGCATTGCACATTATTTTGAAATACCTTATAAGTGCAATAAAAATAAGGAAAAATTGCAGTAGCAGTCTCTAAACTTTCGCTTTTCGTAGACTTTACTCTAACATTTACTTTGTGTTATCCACAGTCCCAAACTTTAAAAAAAAAAATACACATTTGAGGTCCAAATGGATGAAAAATATCTATTCTACTTTTAGCTGACCTGAAAAACGCTAAATAATAATATTATGCTCTTGTTAGAGCCCCATTCTTTTGGAAAAATTCATTTTTCAACAGTGTTTTAATATCATTTCAACCACACATTCTTTAATAAAATAATATTAAACGCAAATCCAAAATTTTCCCTTATTTTTTAACCACACATTTCCCATCAATACGCTATTCAAAAATTCATTCTTCTCCAAAAATGGGGCTCAAACAAGGGCTAGATGATGATGATGATGATGATGATGATGGTGAATATTTTGACCATTTTAAACATGGACATTATAGTCAATCACAAAAACAACCCCAACCACTAGCACCACTACCACATAGTTCGAGCGACAAAAACAGAATGGACTTTGCTGGCTTGTTGTCAGGACGTCGTTCAAACAAAACACTGTTGCTCACTTTTTGTTGGGGAGTGTCATTCGAGCGACACTATATACTAAAAATCCTAATTTTCGATTCTCAAGAATTTTACATAGGCCCATGCTACCCCCAAAACATCTATTATATAAACAACTACGCTCGTTTCACGAAAAAATTCGGATTGACCATTGTGATAAACCACACATACTATTTCTATATCAATCAATCCATTGATCTTTGGGAGTTACAGTTGAAAAACATCAAAACTCATAAATCAAATACCAAAAAATTCCATACTTATAGAGTAACTGTCAAAGTTTGAAGATCAAGGAAGGTGACTAGAATTCTGGTTATTGGAAAACAAGGAATTCTTGGGAATCCATAAGAAAATAGATGAGATCAGAAAGTCGAGAGTTGATGTAGGAGCACGCAATCCAGGAGGTATTTGAGGAATTATAATTAAGAGGTCAGAAAGTACTTATGTTGGTTGAGTTTGGTAGTATGTAAGCTGATTCATTTATAGTAGATTCGTACTGACTTGGGACAGAAGTTTTTAATCCCACAAGGGTTTTCTCTGTCAACAAATATCCAATGCTATTTATTTTTTTTAGCAATTTACTATACTTTGAAAATTTAACATTGGATAGATTGCATGTGAAATCATCTACACAAAAAATAATAATTGTGACGCGTTGCAATTATTAATTAAATTGGTTAAAT